GAATCGTACATCGAATCTCCGAATATTCATCGTAGAACAGTCGCATACTTTAACTCATAATTTTCTCGCCCATGCTCATACATGTCGCCTATTTAGCGCATAGTTCATCGTATATGTCTTCGTACATTTTGGGGTGAAAAACTTAGCTTTTTATTGGGTGGTGTGAAAAACTTATTATGACTTCAGAACGAGGTGAAAATAGCTATTTCCTCTATTTTTTAACTCATCATAATAAGCTTATTAAATATATGTATTTAATTGTCAACTGATAATTTTATTTATTTTTTCACTTTAAATTTAAAAAATATTTGTTTATCTAAAAATTAGAAATAAAGTTTTTTTATTATATATATGTATATAAATCAATGATCGTAACAAAATAATTAATTTGATATATTATATATAAAAAATTAATAACAAAATAAAGAAATTATTTAATTTCAAAATATATTTATGAATAAGTTATTTTTAAACTATCAATAAGCATGGAGAAAAGCCTATACTTATATGAGTTATGTTAAAGCATATGACATTTAAAATTACAAAGAACACATAAAATAACATGAAATGCTACAGTCTTGTTACAGTAGCATCCCGTCAAGAGTTTTAACCGTTAGATACACATGTAGTTAGTATATGATAGATGATCCAACAGTTAAAACACCCGACGGCATGTACTGAGAAGATAGCATTTCCCTAAAATAACATTATTAGAGAAACTATACAAACTTTTCGCCGAAGGAAAAATTGAAAACGCACACGCGAGTAAACAAATCTATATCTGAATTAGTCCATTCCAATTCAGAACCATTTTTTTTCTTTTTTTAATGCATAACATTCAAAAAGTTTTTTTTTTTTTTTNNNNACCGAAACGATAGAACAGTCAAAAAGTTGATTGTGCAAAATCTTAATTAGTGTGACCAAATTAATGTATGTTTTTCCCCTTAGATATTTACCTTATCCTCACGAAAAATGAAACACAAAATTCAAGATGTTATTTTTTTTGTTTTTTCATCTCATTTGACATAATTTTCTCCAAAGTCAAAGTCCAAACGCGTTTGTCGAAATTAATGTCTGAAACGTAATCCAAGGATTCCGTCAAAGCATTTCTCCCCAATTAACGTTCATCACTTTTGCGGAACATTCGAATGGGCCTCATTGTATTTTTTTTTGGTAAAATTTCAAATATGAATATATGATACACCATCTTGGGCGTTATCAACAAAACAGATATTCTGTTGTCCCTCACGAAAGTGAAACATATAGTTGCCATTTTGATCAGCAATCACTCTATTCAGATAAAAAGCCGACGTAGCGTGATTAATTAATGACGTGGAATTATAACTTTCTTAATTTCCTAGGTGTTATTTACGTGGCATGAAAAAAATCCAAAAAAAAAAATAAATAAATAGTGAAGACACATCAGCTAAGAAAAAAAATAATAAAAAATAAAAAAATAAATATTTCTTTAAATATAAATATAATATATTTTGTTAAATATATATTAATACAATATTAAAAAATTTCGTTATATTTTATAAATATATATATATATATATATATATAAACTATTAAAAAATGAAAAAGCGCTTTGTGACAAGTTGCATTCCTGGGACCTTGCGACGGCGCGTGTGGGCGCGTAGGTGGACGGTTGCGATCTCAGCGGCGTTGGAAAGCTCTCGTCGAGACGGTCGTCTGGGTATGCTGCACGTCTTGATTGGACCTCCAGTTAGTTCTGTACGATAAAATATATTTCGTCTCGGTTTACCCAAAGATCTTCTACTGTATATCTCAAACACCTCTTAATCTTAATACGGTGGAACAACAAGAAGAAGATAAAGCTCGAATGGGAACTGAGGGAGAGAATATAGAGTAGGGCGTGTTTCACGAGTTCTGAAATTGTGTTCTCTTCCCATGAGCTTAATGATGTATATATAGAGCTACAGTAGAGACCCTTAGGAGATATGAGAAGAGCTCCTTAATTAATTACAATACTTGTGGATCAAGCCACTTATTTTTATTAATTAAATAATATTAAATGGACCACCAACATAATATTATTGCACTCCCGTTTCCTAGCCCAATTTACAATTGAGACTCCAATAATAATTACTCGATTTATCTCCCCATGTTTAAGATATAATGTCTATTAATTAATTCGATTACTGACAATTTTATAAGAATTATTTAATTTATTATTATTTTACCGAAGCTAGCGCTCGTTCATCACATTATTACTATGCCGGAATCTAATCCACCTGCAGGGTTTAGCATAATAATCCTTCATGAACTCACTCCGGGGACATCATCAAACTAATGCACATGGTGACCGTAAATATCCTAATAGAACATCCTACATCCAACAATATTACCCAAGACAGCGGGTTTATTGGCCTAGTTCACCAAGCCTCACCCATGTGAATCAAAGTAATAAGTACTACACATATATGCCTGTTTAATATCTTACGGGTTAAGAGCACGTAGTAATTAACCGAGGCCTAGTTCGTTTATGACGATCAGTATAAAACGAACTGCTCCTCTCTGGGATCCTGTTCAATACATAAAT